ACTCCCAGAATTCCTTAGTCAACGGGCTTTAAGATGGCTGGACTTCAACTCCCAGAATTCCCCAGTCAGTGTGACTTATGTTGAGTGGACTTCGACTCCCAGGATTCTTAGCTAACATGCTTTAAAATAAGTGAGCCTCTATTCCCATAATTCCCCAGCCAGCCTGCTTTAAGAGGGGTGGACTTCAACTTGCGATTTTCACACGGTTGGGACTAAAACATTTTAAACTTCCACCCTGCAGCCATTGGAAATTTTCCCCGGAACAAGCTCGATTTTTCCCTCAAAGGACAAACAAGCATCGACAAGCCAGCGTGGATTCAGCGTTCAACATTGGTGCCCGAAAAGCAGGAAAGAAAAACTCCCAAAAAGAAAAAGGAGAAAGGCCGAAACTATCCTTAAAACGATTCTTATTTTTCTTAAAATAAGCCCAATCTGATCCAGGCTCTGCATTCCCGCCCAGCAATTTTTAACCAACAATGGTGGTTAGTGGTTGCAGTTTTTTTAATGTTCGTGCCAGTTCGAAGGAGGAACCACCAGTTTCCTTGTCCAGGGAGGGGCCCTGAGGTTTTTTTTTTCCGGTTTTTTTTGCATACCCAGCAAAAAAAAAGGGGGGGGGGGCAGCAGGAAACTCAACCGGTTGGAAATCTGCCCGCCGGCGGTTTTCAAGGAAGCCGAAGCGGCTTTGAAGGCTTCCCAGGCCCAGGAGGGAATGTCGGCAGAAGGGCGCCGTGATTTGATTAAGGTTTATATTGTCTTTTTTACCCTCCAAAGGAAAATAACACTGGTGCGATGGGTTGGGAATGATGGGGTCATAGGTCCTGGGGGAATACCAGAATTGGAAAGGGACTTTGGAGGTCTTCTAGTCCAACCTGTTGCTCAAGCAGGAGACCCTATATTCCAGGGGTGTCCAACCTTGGAAACTTTAAGATTTGAGGATTTCAACTCTTAGAATTCCCTCTGTGGACTTGAACTCCCAGAATTCCCTCAGTGGACTTGAACTCCCAAAATTCCCTCAGTGGACTTGAACTCCCAGAATTCCCTCAGTGGACTTG